CCCCCTACACATCCAGCAATGGTGGGAGTTGTACTTGAAGTCCGACGTGTAGAGGGTGAACAGAAAGGGGGAAAGCACCTTCCCCTGGGGCGCCCCCGTGCTGCAGACCACCACGTCCGACACACAGTCACGCAGCCTGACAAACTGAGGTCTATGTGTGAGGTAGTTAAAGGTCCATGCGGACAGGTGTTGGTCCACACCTGCCCCCTCAAACTTCCCCCTCAGCAGTGATGGCTGGATTGTGTTGAATGCACTGGAGAAGTCAAAGAACATGAGCCTCACCATGCTCCCGGGGACTCCAGGTGAGATAGGGTTTGATGCAGCATGTAGATAATGGCGTCATCAACCCCGATGCCAGGTCGATAGGCAAACTGCAGCGGGTCGAGCACCGAGCTCACCTGGGCACAGAGGTAGCCGAGGACAATCCTCTCCATGGTCTTCATCAGGTGGGAGGTCAGGGCAATGGGTCTGTAATGGTTTGGCTCCTTAAGATGAGGTATTTTGGGAACCGGGACAACACAGGATGTCTTCCATAGGGCATCGGAGACCTCTTGATATTTTGAGGAGCCTCTTTTCCAGAGAAGTGCAGACCCACTGAGCTGGTGGGAGACCAAGGCTTTAGACTGCCCACGTCTTACACACATGATGACAGGAGACTGTGCATTGTAGCAACATCAGTCCCCTCAGAATCTTCTCCAAAACAGGGCAGACAATAACAGAGAGAAGAAACGGGATCAACCCCTCAAAGCTGAGACATCTGGTTTTTCTTAATGCCAATCTTCACTAAAGACCTGCTAAAACTGTTAATTTTCATTTATATTTTGTGGTGTGATTCTCAAAGCTTCTCTATGTTGTTTCATTGTAAATAGTTAAAATTTTATAAATATACACACGTTTTTGTACTTTAAAATAATTTTTTTGTAGCACTCTGAGTATAATAAGCCATATAAATAAACATTTGATATGTTTGTTTTGTACATTAGCAATTCATTTTACACATAATTTTACATTATTTTTGGTTAAAAAGTAATTTACGCAACAAAAAATCTGAAGAGCCACTTGGGAGCTGAAAGAGCCGGCTCTTTTTAGTGAGCCCAGCCATAACAACTGGCTCTCTTCAAAGAGCCAGAATTCCCATCGTTATTTTCAGCTAGAAAAACCATTCAAGTCAGGACAAGTTCAGCTATATAAAGAAGAGTGCCACAGCACATTTTATTTCTTAGTTTTACTTGTCATTGGACATGGTTTTTTTTATACTCACTGTAACAGTATCTACCAATGTAAAGATGAGGCTACAACATTAAAACTGAGAAGGTGTCAAGTTATTTTAACAAATTAGCTCACAGCCAAAAACAAGTATTGTGAGGTGCGACTCGGAGAGCACATCTGCAGATCTACAATGAATTGTGCAATGATTTACAGTATTGTGTGTGGTCTGTTCTTAACAGATGGTTGGTGCTCAGATAACAGCATAGTGTGACCATCGTATTGAGGTAGTAGCATGCATGGGGAGTTTGTTTCTTTGTTGCCAATATAACACCACTGTTCAGATGAAGACCCAGGGAGGCCCAAAGTAGCCAGGGTTTTTTATTGAGCTGCACTATTAATATTAAATATAAAAACATTTACATTATTGGGGCATGTAAAGCTAGAATAGTTCTTTCATCTACAAGACTACACATCCAACAGGGAATAAGTTATAAATCAACTCTTAGAGATTTCTCCTAGATTGAGCAGATTTCACAATTAGTCTAACAACTGACAGGCTCAAACAAAGCAAGAGGACTGGACGGCTAATGTCCTACATTAGCATTCAGCTAATGCTAAATAAAGTATTCCACCTGGGATAGAAAACATAAATTTGGACAACTGTGTTAACAATGAAGCACCTACACACTACCTACATACAGAACGCAACACATGAAATGTTTACTGTGATTTTCTACAATTTTCTAATGCGACCCACCAGAGTAGCAGAAGAGCTACCACTGTTGTCCATCGTGATCCTCCACTACAATCAAACTTACAGAACTGCCACCGAAAACTAACTTGAAGAGCCCAGCTACCACCTGAATGGACAATTTGACTGTCACTGTCTAATCAGATTCAGGTGTGATACACACTAAACCTCACTACTTTTTCTGTATACAGATGTTCACAAACATGCTTATTTTCAGTGTGTTTGTGTAACATAATTTGTTTACAGATTTTATTCACACGTTCAAAAACGTTTTAGATACAAATCTTTCCTACACATGCTCACAATGTACATACATTGCTATTTGTACAATTAAATTCCCATTCATTTGACTAGCATCACCATGTGTGTCACCTCCTTCCCAGTGCCCTTGCCTCTGTAGAAAACAAGGGGAACATAGTGTCCAGATATAAAGAGATATACGCAGGAAATGACTGAGATGTACAAACTACAGCACAGGCTGACTGTAGATATTTACTCAGCCTTTGATTTTGACTCACTTTTAAGATAAGCACACTGAGCATCACCTGCTATCATGATCTCCAGCGCAGCTGAGGAGAGGTCCGTTGGGAACATGTTGACATCTCCCACCGTGCGCTGCTCCTCTTCTATACTGGGATCTGCCCATCGCTGCTTATCCAAGATGATGAATGTGCACTCTGGCAAAAAATTAAAAAGTCAAATTAAACAGCTTTTCTTTAAGTAAAAGTTGAATGATTTTACTAATGCATAACCTCAGAAAGAATGATGTCTTATTTTCATATGATATCCAATGATTGCCAGTTATTTATAAACACTTTAACCTAACAAATGTGATAGATGATGGTACGAATATCTGGAAGGAATGATTTGGAAGCCATAAGTACAGAACTTGAGAGCAGTGTTGACCTAATAAAGCAACTGTCACTGAATCATATTTCACTTTATCCTATCATAAGTTGTATTAAATAAGCTTCTGTTATTTGGACAATGTGTTAGCTTATTTATTTTGGCATTGTAAAAATTCTGAATGTTAAAACTTGTTACTCTAACTTAGAATAAATTAAAAGTAAAAGAAGTTCGCTCAGATTTCTCTTCAGCCACTGCTGTATGATCGGCTCAACCAGATATTACTTTTCTTTCTCTGTTTTATTTATGTAGTTTTCAGAGAAATAAAGGTGTCCAGTTATTCCCATGAAAAAAATCTAAGGCTAAAGACACTGGATATTGATCACGCCCTAACAGGGAAGCAAACCCCAACCTGCCGTACCAAAGTCAGTGGTCACACATTTTAATTGCTTAAAATAGAAACATTAAAATTAACATGGTACCACACAAACGGTCACACAGTAAGACACACACACACACACACACACACACACATACAAAAACAAACACCCAAACATACACAGTCAAAGCAATACAGTGTCGCATAGTAACACACACAGAGGTACAGTGACACACCCACACACACACAGAGGTTGGTCTGCCTTCATATGTCAGTAAAAATTATTTATTCTTTTAGAACTTTAAGCCATTTAATTTCTACCTCTTACTTTGCGATTAAGCCTTCCACTGTTTTAGGAAAGCTCTCACATTCTACAGATAATGAAATTAAATTCCCAACTTCAGTTTTTCATTTCATCTTCCATAATTATTCAGCATTGCATCTCAGCCTTCAGCTGTTTCAACAATGGATTTCAACATTTTCAGGGCAATTCTTCTGCATCCACATGCATTTTCTTCAGGAAATGCATTTGTCTCGTTACATATTGCACTGCTGTTTTAGAGTGTGCAGCTTAAGTCCATACCACTCTAGCAACCAAAAGTAAATAATCAGTGTTTTCAAATGACTGTGCTCTTACAGAGACCTCCTATTTTAAACAGTTTGCCTCATTGGGGAATTAGGCTTGTTTAGACCCATCTAAACAAGGACTAAAGGCAAAGTTGCCGTGGCAGAGTGCCTCACACATTGTGTTACATTGCATGTGCTTGGAAACTCCCACAGTTATGAATACTTCTCCAGTCATGCAATTTGACTGTAAAGCCTTATTGGATTTCATTAATAAACAGTCATTATAAACAGAAACTTACCTGTCTCAACTTGTCTTCAAAAACCTGTTGTATGTCTGGTTGCTCACTGTGTAGGGATGATTGTCATTGTCGCTATCATTCCATTGCCAGACAATCTGGTTGAGGACTGTCTAAGGGGGAATGAAGAAAAAACCTGAATGTTAAAGCATGATATGCTTTATAATTTCAATCCATCATACTTTGGTTTTCACAGGTTTGCTGCATTTTGAACAATTTTTTTTAGCTTTTCATTAGTGGCCACAGTATTTTTATTTGGACAGTGAGCACACTTTGATATATGGTCCTTGTATTAAGACAAAATATAAAGATGTCATCTCACCACATGAAGTAATGACCATCTCTAATTTAATGGTGACAAGTTCCAAGACGTCGTCCCTCTGCTGGGTCAGACAGGTTCATCGCCACCAAGCCTAAGAAACACAAACCATTTTAACTTCTATTGTTTACCCTCACTTTTATAAAAGAGACCAGGCAATTGTTCCTCCTTTTTAACAAACTACTTTTAACTTGTGAAGTAAAAAAAAAAAAAAAAAAATGGAAAAGATATTCAATTTTCATTACTGAAGAAAGCATAAAATACATTATCACACACCCCTAAAGTGGATCGGAGACTACCTCATGACAGCAGTGGATAGTACCTGCTTTACTTGGTCTCAGGAATACTTATAAATGATTTGGACATGTGGACTATGATGTATTATTATTATTCATGGCATATAAGCTGCTTTTATATGATGTTTTGTGCACCTATGTGAAGTCTAATTATTGTACACGAGTTCCCAGATCAATTAATCATAAGGAAAACGTTAAACAAACCACATCTCTTTCCAACCGTAGTAAGGTACAGAAGGTACAACTTAATTTTCATCAAAATGAGCCATCCGCCATACTGGACAAATTGATCTCTATTAAGAATGTCAATGATTAATTGATTAAAATATATCTTAAGCGACTGTGCTTTAATGAGACAGGGCAAACCTGTTTGCTATCTTAGATTGAATCTGTCCGGCCAGTTGCTGAAAAGTGACGGACAGGAGGTCATTTTTTGTTGTTACATACGTTACTCAAGTAGCTTGGTGTTTACATCTTTAAATTCCAAATTTACTCCAGATTTTATGGTGAATATAGATCGTTAGTTAAAAGTATTTTATAAAAAAAAATCTTATTGTTAACGATTAACCAGTAACTGAATTGTAACGTGGCCAACTATCAATCAACAAAGCTGCTCAAAATTTGAATCCCTATTTTCAATGTGCAGCTGAGGAAAAATATTCAATAACTTCACTTATATATAGTGCCACAAAACATCACTTTGCACTAGTGTTGTGGCTGAATCCCTGTTTCACGACTCCTCCTGTGGTGACATGCCCATATATATATATATATATATATATATATATATATATAACCAAGTAATATAAACTGCAGGAAACTATTAATGTGTGAACAGAATTTGATGGTACTACGCTATACAAAAGTGAAGTTGCTTAATATTTCTGTAGTCACCTATTTTCAGTGTTGCACTTTGTAGACGGTCCCTGCCTACTCGTCTCACAGCTGGCTGCATATAAAGACCAATTTGTTCAGCATGGAGCATGGCTCACTTTCATGGAAATTAAATTGTAGTTTGTCTACCTTACTATTGTTGGAAAAAGATGTTTGTGATTTAACGTTTTGCTTATGACTTGTTGATCTGAGAATTTTAAATGTTTCTAACTTTAACAAAATAGCAGCAGTATCTGTTGTCATTGCCACTGCACCTCAGAGGGTACACTGTAATTTGTATCGTGGGTAGTATGCTACAATACACGTTGCCAAAGGTCTACGATCACTCCTTTCCCACCCCTATTACTTACCATCTGAGTTGTTGGCCGGATGTCAAGATCTGTTACATCATGGATCTGTACTGTGAGTTGATGAAGTTTTGAGTTATCTTCTTCACTGGGTTGTGTTGCTCCAAGTTCTGGACTTGTTAATATACTCACCAGGTGCACTATATTCAACAACAAACACATTATGCAGTATACAGTCATGGCAAAAGAAAGTACACACTTGTTAAGTGCTATGTTTTTATTTATTGGGCTGAAAAAAAACTGTGTGGACCTTACCAACATCCATAAATCCATCCATTTTCCTCCGCTTATCCGGAACCGGGTCGCGGGGGCAGCCGTCTAAGCAAAGATGCCCAGACTTCCCTCTCTCCAGACACTTCCTCCAGCTCCTCCGGGGGAATGCAGAGGCGTTCCCAGGCCAGCCGAAAGACATAGTCCTTCCAGCATGTCCTGGGTCTTCCCCGGGGCCTCCTCCTGGTGGGACATGCCCAGAACACCTCCCGGGACCTCCAGTGTCTAAGCTAATGTACCATAGGTGAGAGTCGGAACGTAGATCAACCAGTAAATCGAGAGCTTCGCCTTACAGCTCAGCTCCTTCTTCACCACGACGGACCGGTACATCAACTGCATTACTGCAGAAGCTGTACTGATCCGCCTGTCAATCTCCCGTTCCGTCCTTCCCTCACCTGTGAACAAGACCCGAAGATACTTGAACTCCTTCACTTGAGGCAGGAACTCTCCACCAACCTGAAGGGAACAAGCCACCCTTTTCCGACTGAGAACCATGGCCTTGGACTTGGAGGTGCTGATTCTCATCCCAGCCGCTTCACACTCGGCT